GACTCTGCTACAAACTCCTATCCCCTGCCCGCTCTCCCAGCCCCGTCAATGGCTGCCCTGTCTGGCCCCAGCATCCCAGCGCTTTAAAAAAAAACAACAACGAAAAACCAAAAGCCCCACACTCACTGGCTGCTGCAGTGTCTGTTGGGACTTCTGGGGGCTCATGGCAGAGCCCCCTGTGCAGTGGGGGGCAGTGGGGATCGCCCCCCTGGCTGGCAGGAGCTGGTGGGGGTGGGGGGTTGTTTTGTTTTCTTTTTTTTAAAGAGCCAGGACAGTGTGGCCAGGCAGGGGAGCCATTGACGGGGCTGGGAGAGCAGGCTGGGTGGTGCCTGTTTGATTTGGCAGCAGCCGTATCTCCGAATCGGATTAGGCCAGATCAATTCAAATCACCGAATCAAATTGCTGTCCGCCGAATCTGAAGCGAATACTAGCTGCTTTGCACAGGCCTACTAAATGGCCCAATTCATTGCCTTTTATTACTATTTGAAAATAATTACAGCAAGAATGGAAAAATACTCGGGAATTTATCAAAATTGACAAGAATTGTAAAATGTTTTCAGCGTCTTCAGTGTATACCCAACCCCTCAGAACATAATCCTCATGTTAAATAACCAAGCATGCAGCCATTTTCTTTGCCATGTTCTCCTTTGAAAGTCATCCTAACCACTTTATTATGAGTTATCTTACAGCAGGGGTGGGCAAAATGTGGCCCACGGGCCAGATCTGACCTGCTTGCAGAAAAGGCCAAACCCCACCTGTTCCTGCCTGCGGGTAGCCTGTGCTATGCTCCTGTCCCATGCCTGCTGGCCAGCATGCATAACTTTCTGGTGAGGTTGCTGCTACAGCTGCCTGGATACTGCTTGGCTCCACCTGCCTCCAGTGGTGGCTGCTCCTCCTGCCCGTGCTGCACTGCTCATGTAACATGGGGGAGCCATGGGGCATGTCCCAGCCAGGTGGAGAGAAGCTGCAGCTGGGCAGGTCCTGAGCCAGCATGCAGGGCTCCAGCTTCAGGTTGCCTTCCACTCACACAGCTGTCTGTAGGTGGAGTCCTGCATGCTGGGGCAGAGAGCCACCCAAGCTAAAGCTTCCCCCATGCCTGGCTGAGCATCTGCTTCCTGACATGCATCCCAACAGCTTTCTTGTGTTACCTGCTGCCCAGAGCAGTACAACAGGGGCAGGATGAGGAGGAATTGCTGCTGGAGGCGGGGGAGCCAAGCCATACCTGGGCAGCTGCGGCAGCAGCACATACTGGCTCGGGCTGGGGTGGTACTGTCTGGTGGGTGCAGGGTGTGTGAGGCGGGGGTGTGGTTTGAGCTGCCCTGGATGGGAGCAGGCAAGGCTCAGCTCCACACACAGTGCCATGGAGCTAGCCATGGGCCAGATGGGGGTGATGCACAGACTGCACCTGCACCATTTGGGCAAGCCCTGCTACACCCCCCCCACATCCCACATACATACCCTGCCCCTACACACATTGCCCCACACAACATACAAGAGTAAGACTATTTTGAGCTGTTATGCAATCACCTCAAATAAATATAAATATAAATATATACATACACACACACACACACACTCTCTCTCTCTCTCTCTCTCTACTCAAAAAAACCCAAAACCTAAATCAGGACAATTTTTTTTAAATAAAATTAAAATTGTTATAGTAGACGTTTGATTCTTAGAATATGATTTTTTTTATCTATAACTTGTTAAAATGATATGTTCTGAAAGATTTTATTTGTGGCTGTCAACAGCTCACCAAAACTGGTTTAGTGGCCCTCCAGCTGAAATAATTGCCTAAACCCTGTCTTCGTGATGTGTGGTATTATCTCCTCTTAACATATTAAAGTTTGAAATACTTCAGAGGGGCAAATGGAGGAAGGACAGCAGAAGGGAGTTTACTTTATTTTTGCAGTATAATATAAGGGTAAAAAGAACCTTTTAAAAGAGTCTAGGATCAGACATTGATTTTGCTGACAAAAATCATGAGTGTTACACTGGTTTCTTCAGTAAGGGTACTTAGCTGTTTTGTGCTTGTCTGTATTGTAAATAGTGTGTTTGGCCTAACTGATGATCTGTTTTTTAAATAGACTATAGAATCTTATTTGAGAGTTGATTTGATTTAGCTGAACTTGTTGCAGTGCCATTAAGAAACAGACTACCGTGCTGATGTTACTAAATCTCTGTTTTTTTTAAAGTTGATCTTAATGTCTCCAGAGCACTACCCAAATGTACAAATATTGGGTGACCTTTAATTGTTGAAATTTCTGCAGTGTCTTTGGGCAAAAAGTTATGTATACACACCCCATTTGTATGTTTGGTGGAAAGAAAGCTTTTGTATTGGTGGAGGCAAATCTCCACTTCAGTAAGGACCAACTTTTTTGGCAGGGGTGCCATAAATTAAGCCCTCCACCTCACCCGAGTGCCACTCTGATACCCTGACCCTGCCTGATCTTCTGCTTTGCCTTTTGCTTTTTGCCTGATCTGCTTCTTACTGCTTCCCCAATCTGCGGCATACCACTCAGACTGCCTGTGCCACTTTTGTGTCACAAAAGCCCCTACTGTAGTTGATGCTTTTTTTTCATCTCTTCATTTGTATTGTTTAGGCTATGGCATGAAATATGAAGCAGGCTGTACTTGCTGTCAGTGGCCATCAGGGACGACCAGTGTAATCTGCCTCACATTTAATCCGGTTAATCTAGTGCTAGTCAAGCCTGCGCAATATATTGGAATGTAGAATAGCACTTTGTAATTTAAGAAATTAATGTAATATATAAGATGAGTAGGTTAGTGAGATACCAAACTTAAGAAGAACTGGATCTAAAGCGATTATTCTTTTAAGATTTAAAGCTACGTCTTGCTTTGCAGAGTATTTTTTTGAAGAAGCTTTCTACAAGTGGTCTCTCAGTAAATATGTTGTCACTTGTCTCGCATTCACTAGTTAAATTTTTATTGGAAGAAAGAATCAGAATCCTTACAAATTAATCTGGATTCTACCATGTAGGAATCAAATGACTTTTTTTCTGGTAAACTTCCTAAGTGGCTAAAAGTGAAACGGGCAGGTAGCTAAACTGTATGCTGATCATTTGGCGTGAAAATCAGCATAGTAATGGTTAACTTTTGTCTAGGCAAGACTGCTAAATATCACTTGTAGTTGCAAGTATATTTGTACCAAAGTTTGAATGGGTTTCCTGTCAAGCAGATCTCGCTGGCTTTAGTGTTTAACATGAAATGATACCATTTTCAAAATTATTTGACTGTTCTTATAATTATCCCTATGACCACAATATTGTGGTATATCTTTGGTAACCAACTACTCCTTGGGCTTTTGGGGAGGTAGTTTGCTTAGAACAGTGTGTCAAACAAGGTTTTAAAAAGAAAATGCAAATGACAAACCTGATTCTGAAACAAATATCAGTGATACTGTATGTCATGGCAATACTTCCAAAATATGACATTTCTTTCCATGTATCTTGTTCTTCTCAGGAAGACGTTCAAAGTAGATGACATGTTATCAAAAGTAGAGAAGATGAAGGGAGAGCAAGAGTCTCACAGGTATCTATTCATTTTTATCAGAAGGTCATGTGTGGTTCAAGTGGGGGTATAATAAAAGGAAATGATTATGATAAGGAGTGTGCTTGCTACATGACAGCAATGTTGCTTCCAACACTTTGATGTATATATCCATTGGTGGGAAAGGGAAATACACTTCTCTTTTAAAAAAAAAAAAAAAAAAAATCTTTTTCACAAAGGACCCAAGGAGGAAATTGTAAAACTTTGAACATTTAATTATTTTTCAGTGAGCAATTGCTGTTCTTCTGGGGAAAGTACTTAAACTATTATCAAGCTATGAAATAATGGGTTTCATTAATGTGTAATCAAGTTTTTGTGTTTTGCAGTTGGTTGTGGGCATTATGGAAATAAGCAAGTAAAACTGCATATTTATATTGTAGTTGAATTTAAAATGTATGGAGTTGGGCAAAGCACATTTTAGTAGTTTCACGTTGCCATAGCTAGAAGTTTCTCTCTTGTTTAGGCTTAACTTGTAACCCTCTAAAATAGTTTCTTTCATTACAATTTTTAATTTTTTTTTATTTTGATCTCATAGCAGACCCCCAAAGTAGTGTAAGGTATGTATCATTCTACTCCAGTAGAAATGCTTGAGAGATCAGACCTTGCTGAGGAAAGTAGAACTACTTAATTGGCAAACTTTGAGTTTCTACCAAATAAACGTCACATTTGAAAAGATGCTTCAGCTTCTTTTTGATACTAATTTGCCTTTAATGAAAAAGTATGCAGAATAGTTAGGATGTCGTATCATTCTACTCCAGTAGAAATGCTTGAGAGATCAGACCTTGCTGAGGAAAGTAGAACTACTTAATTGGCAAACTTTGAGTTTCTACCAAATAAACGTCACATTTGAAAAGATGCTTCAGCTTCTTTTTGATACTAATTTGCCTTTGTAATGAAAAAGTATGCAGAATAGCTAGGATGTCTCCATGGGCTGCATACAGACAATTACTGAGAAATTAGGTGATGCTGGGCCAAAAAAATCTGCTTTTCAACTTATTAAATGCATTAATTACAAAGAAGTGCACCTGAGTGCACAGTTTATTACAAATTGCAATGTAATTTAGTTTAATATACTGGATGTGTTAAGAGAAGGACCTGTGCAATTTACTGAGATGTTAGTTACTATCTTGTTTTTAAAAAAAAATATATATCTCCTTTGTTTTTGTGGGGGAAACCCACACAAACTGGAGAGAATGAAATTGGACAGAGAATGAAACCGACCACTTGTGAGAAGTAAACAAAATGTAAAAATCTCTGTGCCATGAAAATAGTGTTATAACAGTGGTTAATAATACATTAACATTTTTTAAGGTAAGTTAATGTCCGTGTCTCACCTTATCTGTAGCAGCACTGTTCTGTTTTTGATTGTAGAGTATCAGTTTAGTATCGGAACTGAAGGAAAGATTCCTCCAAATCAGTAACTTGTGTGAACTCTCATATTTATGTACTTTTCTCTGAATTGTGACAATCGTTTTTTAGTGTTTGTTTTTCCTTGAACGAAATTACTATTGAAACACCCAGCAGTTGCAACGAATGCTGTACTTGTATTAAGAATTTAATATCCTTAATGCATTGCTAGTTGTCAAGCTCTAGGTTGCAAAAACATTTTCAAGTTGAACTCCTTTATAATGGTACCTAAATCCGTTGTATTTAATGGCGGTCATAAGTGTATCCATTTTATTTAATGGCAGTTTGCCATGCCAGTCAAAGTGCACAAGTTTTGCCAGTAAAAAAAATATTAAACTAGTAATCATTAATGCAACAAATTAATGGCATGCAAGAAGTCTGCAAAAATATGAGAAGTGTCCAAAACGCATTGTTACTGTAGATGATTTGTGTAAATCCTGGGCATGAGAGTATTTCTTCTCCCCTTAGTCTTAATTGACAATCTAATTAGACATTAAACTACCTGAGCTATTTCAGGAAGAACGTTAATGAGTCCTGTTTAAGTACTGCCAAAAGAATTTTGTTCTATTCTGATGTCCATATGAAGAGATCATAATTAGTTGGCTCTACATTCTTCTTTGGTGCAAAGGCTATGGATAATTAACCAAGAGATTTTCTAGGAGTCGCTTAATGGATTATGATATTTGAAGCTTTCATGAAACAGTGGAACAAAAGCAGACTTTGAAAGACTGTAGCATGAATTTCCAGAATGTGGGAAGGCTTTTCACATACAGATGTGCTTTTGTATCCTTTTAAAACATAATAACACATTGCAATGGGTGCCTTGCAAAGCTTAATAAACGATTATGAACTTCATGTGCTGGATAGATCTTTTCGGGTTATATTAACCTGTTGTTAAATCCTAAATCTTCTGTTTTATTAATCCAGTTACATGTACTTTACCTATAACTATGCTGCTTATAAATTTGGTTTTTTTCCTTGCTTAGAAAAGGTCAGATGAATCTCTAGTTTTCAAGGATTAGTTTAGGACCTGACTGTGAAACAAACTTAGTTTAACATCAAAAAGTTTTGTTTTTTTAAATACAAATTCCCATCTGAAAATTATTTGGCATAATAATATAATTTTCTTCTGATGTAAGTATAGATGATCACTACTTTCTAAATATGGATTGTAAGGCACTTGTCTCTCAAACTTTTCATGTTTAATAATTGTCACAAAATGAAGGTGTACCCCAAGAAAATTCCTCCTCACAAATATTTTGAGTCTCAATGACTATATTGAAAATACTTAGGTTTTCTGATTAACTTCATCCAAACAGGGCTGAATTAAATGGCCTGAGTTTTGCTATAACTTATGTGGGGCAGTTTGTTTGTTTTTGGTAGAAAAAACAGTATGAAGTTGAAGATGTCTTTCTTTCCGAATAGGACCTTATAGAGTATGGATGAGTTTGTTAGTGGTATTTTATTTTATTTAAAATAGTTATTGTTCAGCCAAATGACTTTGTTCCCTAAACAATTTATTTTCACTTTTTTACATGTCCTCCAGTGTGCTAAATTTAACCTTTTTTATGATTTGAGTTCAAGGATAAAGTGGATCTACCAAAGTAAAGTTGAAGAATTACCTATATAATAAGATGTAACAATATGAAATTCAGCCTCAGCAAGAGGAGGCTGAGGGGGGGACCTGGTGGCTGCCTACAAGCTCATCAGGGGAGATCAACAGCAAATAGGTAGAGCCCTTTTCTCCCCAGCACCACCTGGGGTGACAAGGAACAATGGTAAATAAGCTGATGGAGAATAGGTTTAGGTTAGAGATCAGAAGGCAATATTTTACAGTTAGGGTGTAAAGGGAAGTGGTCCTCGCCCCTACCTTGGGCAAATTCAAGAGGAGGTTGGATGATCACCTGTCTGGGGTCTTGTGAACCCAGCATTCATTCCTGCCTCTGGCAGGGGGGCAGGCTAGATGATCTATTCAGGTCCTTCCTGACCCTAGCTACTATGAAATAAAACATGTAATAATTTAAACTAATGAGGAGGTTTTGTAATGTATTGTAGGTGGGGCTGGTAGTACGAGGTATTGCCTTTGGATCAAGTACAAGATCCTGTTTTTAGTTCCTTATCTTTAAATATTTATGCTAAAAAAGTCTATGCTTTGTGTCTGTCCCCAGCTAACTTTTGTTTGAAACTTCAGCCAAAACAAGTTGGCTGGGTAAAGAGTGTGTGTGTGTGTAATGCTTCTTGCACTCTGCTTTGGTTCTCAGACTTGAATGTTGAAGGGGGTGACCTATTATCTGTCCTTGGGTAAATCTATCAAAATTTGATTTAAAAAATAAGCCTTTGAAAAATACTGATTTTGATATGCTCAGTAGAGACTTCTGTTTTAACAGCTAACATCTTTAGTAGATTGAGGAATAGATTAGGCTAAGGAGGTTGGTGGTCGACTTGGAGAATTCAGCTGTCTTAACCAGAGTCTTTAGTTTCTCTTGTGTGATACCTGCCTCATCTACTTCACACCTTCCAGGTTGCGCAACAAATGGACCTTGTTGCATACCCCTGGTTCATGCTTGGAACAAATTAGTCTTACATACTAGAGGAAGGGAAGGTGGTGGAAAAATGATTTGTGAGCACATAATTGGAAAGTGAGATGGAGAATTTATGTGATAAAGTTGAAAACTTACCTATTTTTGCCTCCTGTAACAATTGTTCTGTGCAGGCTATTTACAAAGAGCAAGTTTGTCTTTAAATTTGCATGAGTGCCACATTAAGTATACTGTAGCTCTGTTAGTTAATGGCAGGGAGGAAGTTGACCCTGCTTGTAGATGTAGTTCTGGTTTTTATATCTGTTTTCAAGAACTAGCTGTTTTAATATAACCCTCTTTTTTTTTTCCTTTTCTCTCCTCCCCTCCCTTCCCCCCCATTTAGCTTGTCTGCTCATTTGCAACTCACGTTCACTGGTTTCTTCCATAAAAATGGTATGTCTGTTTATTATTACACTAATTATAATTATAACTAACATATAATGTTGTATAATTAAGCTTTTAGTAGAGATATAGGCTGTAAAGGGATATTTACAGTGGATAGACTTGCTGTGTATTATAATGCCTGATGATTACAAAAAATACCCTTTTTAATTGCTTTTTTGCTTAGCTATTGTGCATGCACAATAAAATATTGCTATAGTTAAAAAAATACTTTTTCACCACATGTACTTTAAATGTTGTTTAATTGTAGGAAATCATGCAGGCTTGCAAACTTTCTTTACAAAACATAAAAGCAGATTTTATTAAAGACTTAATCTTCATCCTCTTAGGCTCTATTAGCAGAGCATTAAAATAAACTTGAGTTTTTTACTTTAAGAATGCCAACTTGTGGAAATTTTGTTTTCTGTTTTTGTACCATTTTGTTAATGGTAAATTTAATATTTTGAGGTTAAAATTAGAAGAATGAGACTTTTTTGCACATTTCAGATACCATCTAGAAATGAGGCAGAGAGTCTTTCCAAGAAGAATTGGAATAACATCCTGTCTAATGTTTTGCAGTCCTAAAATGTGTATCTGTAGGATGCTCAGCCTTAAGTTTACAAAAATTTTAAAGGGGTAAACAGTAAGGGCCTGAGTTCAAGGTTTTGTTTCTTCTCTAGTCAGAACAGCAGCTGTATTCTTTCTGTTGTTCTAAGTATTGGTAACCACTGTCTCTTGATGGAGAAACATGCTTGAACCAAGGATATATATAATTTAGAATGTGGGTAGTAATGTTGGTAGCTTCCTTGCTCCCTTAATAACTAATGTATTTTACTTCTGCATGTTCTAAAAAGTATTTAAAATTGTGGCTGCTAGAGCCAGGATTTTAAAACAATTTTTTCTCTTGGCTGTTAAAAAACAAAACAGGGATTTTATTCTTGGCAGTTGATGTTGCTCCTTTGATCTAGAGTAGTGGTTGGTGTTTTGGGGCCACAGAACAGAAGAACCCTGCTTGGGTCTTAGGGAAGCCAGATTTCTGACTGCAGCTGTCTTTTTCTCCTCCCTTCGCCACCCCCTTGCGGCCGTGTTGTGGGCACAGCTCCCAGCCACCTGACCCCAGCAGCCACATGTTACTGATTCAAAATCAAGAGTCTTCTTTCTGTGGCATAGTAGACCAGCATCTAGAGAAAAGTGTTAGTCTTCTTTGGCAAGTTTTTTTTTTTTTTTTCTTTCATTTAAGTTCTGCCCTCGGGTGTATTGCTTTAAGCAGGGCAGCAACAGGAGATCGTGGAGTCCCATCTTTAGTGGAGAAAAAGAGGGTGTGATCGGAAGTAAGTGCACAGCGCTGTATTTTGGGGGAAAAAAAAAAAAATCTCTTCTCAATCTGGCACCTGATAGGAAGACCGCTGTGCAAAACTTCAAGTAACTGGGGTATATGATAGTGACATTGTACTTCTGTATGGACCCTATTTGTTAGACTTTGGTTTAAAATGTAGTCCTTTGGTTGGTAGGTTCTGAAAGTTTTCAGGATGTTTGTATATTTGGCGTAAGTCAAGATAAGAGCTCTTTTTGTACTGTGAGTGTACTGTGGCCACAAAATGCTCATATGCTTGCCTTTTTTTTTTCCCCTCAACAAAGGTAGGAACAGTGAGAATGATATGATTGTAACCTTTTTTACAGTGTATATAAAGAACAGTATGCCCAGTGATGCATACAAAATAGAGCATTTCAGTGAATGACACTGGAGCCTCATTGATGTGCTTTCCTCTCTGGTAAAATTGTTCCAAAAGCTCTTGTAAAATGCTGCACTTCGATTTTACAAGAATTGTGATAAGGCTAGAGATGTGTGTGTTAGACGTGCTTGCTGTTTAGGCAGTCAGTAGACTTATTTTCTGTATCATTTGTATGCTTGCTTAAATATGATTGAATAAAAATTCTGAAGGCTTATCTAAATGCTGAAGAGCAAGTAAATTGTTGCAATTCTGTTGGTGCCCCTTTTTTAAGATGGGTACACAAACACTTGTCATTAAAATTTAAAAAAAAAAAGGAAAAAATATTAATAATCAAACAAGGTTGTTTCTTCAATGCAAATACAGGGTGTTTATAAAGTCCGGGTGCAACTTTAAACTTCAGTAACTTTGGATGTACACATGATAGAAACAAACTGTAAATGGCGATTTAAAGAATAATTCAATAAGTTTTAACACAAAAAGCTCAAATTTCTAGACTTTAACATAACCACCATCTTTCGTGATATATTCTTCCATCTAATTTTCCATCTTGTAGAAAACATTGTCCAGTTGCTGCTGAGTGATTTCATGAATTGCGTTTGTGACCCTTCCCCTATTCTAAAAAATTTAATGAATTATGCTTTCAATTGCCACTTACAGTTTGATTCTATCATGTGTATATCGAAAGTTTTTAAAGTTTAAAGTTGCCAAAGGACTTCATAAACACCCTGTGTAATGTCAATATGAAGGCTAGTGCCATAATCCAAAGTTTGAAGTTTTGGTTTGAATGAGTTGGTTTAAATCCATAACAGATAAAAATGGATTACGGTGTTGATAGCGATTGAAAAATTGGCATAGCTCTTGAAAGTCTTGATTTAAGGAATGTATCCACAACTGTTACTTGATTTCACAATTTGTGTTACCATCTAGCTATCAGTGTTAGTTTAAAATAACAGCTTTGCTGAAAACTGCCTATTAAATATGCCTGGCAACAGCAAAACCTCCTTTGAATGTGAAGGTTGCTAGAAATTTTCAGCAATCATGGTCATCGTAATAATACTGGGAGGCTGCCTACACAGCAATGCACCATTAAGAAATTAAAGTTAATACAGAATATTATTGAGTTAAATGGTCCAATACACAGAGATCACCTTGGAAGGCTCACCGTTCCACTTCTTGTAAAGCTGTGATTTTTGAGGTTCACGTGAACATATTTTATAATAAATTGTGCGGACAGTTGGATTTTGAAGTGGAGTTAGTTTGGATGGGAAAATGTATTGTGTTTTGAAATTTTAATCATAGAAGTAGGGTCAGAAGGGACCTTGTAGATCTTCAAATCCTACCCCCTGCCTGGGCAGGAGGAAAACTGGGCTCAAATGACCCCAGCCAGGTAGGCATCAAGCCGCTTCTTAAAGACCCCCAGGGTAGGAGCCAGCACCACTTCCCTTGGAAGTTGGTTCCAGATCCTAGCCGCCCTGGCTGTGAAGTAGTTCTTATGGATGTCCAATCTAAACCTACTCTCCAACAACTTGTGGCCATTATTCCTTGTTATCCCAGGGGGTGCTAGGGGAAACAAGGTCTCCCCCAAACCCTTCTGGTCCCCCCCCAGTGAGTTTATAGACGGTCACCAGGTCCCCCCTCAGCCTTCTCTTATGAAGGCCGAACAGGTTCAGGTCCCGTAGCCTCTCATTGTAGGGTCTGCCCTGCTGTCCCTGGATCATGCGGGTAGCCCTCCTCTGGACCCTCTCAATGTTGTCCACATCCCTCTTGAAGTGGGGTGCCCAGAACCGGACACAGTACTCCAGCTGTGGCCTGACCAGTGT